CTCCAAAGAGAAAGGACAAATTGAAATCGCATCATATGACCCCTTTACAAAAAAGCCATTGACTGTCATCTTCCTCTTTCTAAAAGATGCAGAACTTTTAATTTCAGTGCTTTTCCTGTGGTTTTTAATCATCTGCATATCATCATACGTGCATCTAATTCTGTACATAGACATCATATCCTTTCACAAGAAACTTAAAATTAGACGACTCTCACTGCATAAACTCGCAGGTATGTTTAACTTCCTCTTTCTGATTTTATAGAGATTACTGGGCCGAATTTCTATTTGTGTATCAGATTCCAATAACTGGAATTACTGCATTTAAGGCAAGACACCCCAGGACAATAAGATAAAAAACTTTGACTATTTAAGGATTGCAAACATTTTTTTTTTGCATTAAGTATTTTGAAAGGTTATGTTTACATGTGCAAATGATGCATTATCTAAAGAAATATGCACTAATTTGCATTCATTTTCAGAAGAGAAATGGATAAGGCCAGGTTCAAAATTATTGCGTGATTTTGGATTTGTCTTTTTATCACTCCATAAATCAGAAAGTACTGTCAACAGCCAGAAAAAAAACTATTTAAACATGTTTTTCTTTTTTTTAGGAATCAAATATTCTATAAATCAGTGTGAATGACATATGAACAAATCCCTCAGTAAAACCCTTCATAATATAGAGAGGAATAAAACTGTTACGTTTGGTGAATGTAAGTGCTGCTGAAGTGGAGAATTTTTTTTAAAGATATGTGTTGTAATGGAAATCTACACTCTAAAAAATGCTGGGTTAAATATGACCCAGTGCTGGGTAAAATGGGGAAAAACCCAGCAATTGGGCTGTTTTGACCCAGTGGTTGGGTTACTACACAGAAGGCAACCGCTGGGTCAAAACAGCCTAATTGCTGGGTTTGTCCCTATATTCACCCAGCACTGGGTTGTATTTAACCTAGCATTTTTTAGAGTGTACAGGCGCAAATATATAAAGTGCAATAAAATAAACTCTTAAATGTATATTTTGGATGTTTTTTCTCTAGTCTGAAATATAGCCAAATAGCTCCAAATCTCACAATTTACACTCTAAAAAATGCTGGATTAAATACGAGCCAGTGCTGGGTGAATATAGGGACAAACCCAGCAATTGGGTCAAAACAGCCCAATTGCTGGGTTTTTCCCCATTTTACCCAGCACTGGGTCGTATTTAATCCAGCATTTTAGTGTACCATAAAAAAAATTCAACGTTTCCCTGTAGTGTCTTGCCTTAAGAGATGATTTATTTACAATTATTGCATTTCCAACAAGACAAAAATGGACTTGTTACTGTGCACATAGAGCTACATTTAAATGTTAGATAGAAAAATGCATTAAAAAGTTTCCATGACTTTCAATAAGCTGAAAATCCCCTGATATTTTCAGCTTTTGCACCACATTTATGTTCTTGGTTTTTTTTTGTTAGTAAAGGTTTGTGCAGTGTTATCAGTCCACAGATGAAAGATGAGCTGATTCTTTGCTATTCTCAGTAAAAAGGGTACTCATACACTTGACCAAATAGAAGAGAAAATAGAAAGTCAGATGTGTAGAAAATGTTTTTGAAGTGTTTGGCGGCTGTGAAAAAAGCAAGGGCAGCAGTTGAGATCTCAGTTCCTGTTTTTATCATCTGTCACCAACCAGAACAGATGCTAATATTAACATGAGTATTGCTCTACAGAGGCTGATGGAGAATATCGTGGTAAACCACTTTCATATTCGTCTCACACTTTTGGTTCCTCTTGAGATGTTTTATGCTAAACCACATGTGCTAAAACTCACAACCTCATCTCACACGGTGTAAAAAGTACTTTTGAGTTACACTAAGTCACACTTAAAATGTGATTACTTTACATTAGAAAGTCACCACTGCTGGAGCTTTTCTTAGATCAGCTTCACTTTTCTGAGCCTTTTTTTGCAATAACCTTTACACAGCTAAATCAGCATTTAGCAAGAGAATTCAGTGTCCAAATATGTTTGAGGCGGCTTCATAATAATACTTTTGTCCTTTCACTTTTAAAATGACTTAATGTTGTGGCACAGAAACATAATCACTCATAAAAAATCATTTTTCAATGCATATGAAAATAGAGCAGATCCTTGCATGTAAAACTCCCATCAAGCGTGTTTTTCTGGGTGGCAGATGCTCATGAGTTTTAGTTGAAAGACTGGGCATCAGGAGCTCTTGGATTTCAGGCCTGCAATCAAGGAGGACTTTCAATTAGGATTATTCATTTTTGAATATTTTGAAATATATAAAGAGAGTGCTTTAAAAAGCTGCACATCCTCATGGTTAATATTTAGTTGATCTTAAATTCAGAATAGATTTTCATTATTATAAACATAAACTGAAATAAAACAAACGTAAACTTTTTTTATTTCAGCTATAGTTGCCAAAGCAACATTTCTAATTTTCAATTAGTTTAATAATACCTAAAACTGAAAATTAATTAAAAAGTAGACATATAAAAAAAAAAATTTTAAATACTAAAAATGACAGAAATGCACAATGAAATTACTAACTTTAACTGAAATTAAAATAAAAATGAAATAAATAAACTAATTTCAAATATTCAAAATAAAATATATATTTTTTTATTTCAACTAGCTGCTGATGTAAAATTTAGCATTTTTATTTAGTTTAACTTGATGTACTAAAATGGTCTGACACGAAATCATAATTACTCCACTGGAAAAGTACCATGAGAAGTTCAACTAGGATCTTTTATGAATATTCTTCACATTAAACCACTGAAACAAAAATATTAGAGTCAAAATGACCTGCGCAGAGTTAAATATACAGGAAAAAGCAGCTAAAAAAACAGTCGTCATAAGGATATTTATAATGTCATAATGTTTTAGAGCCTGCATGTGTGGTTTGAAAGTATATTTTAAAGCTCTCACTGATTACTGCAGTCTGTAAAAACATTTCTGCGGACAGAGCAGCTCAGTTTGTTCTGAAATGATGAGACTGAGATCTCTGTCATTACTCACGTTCACCACACGAGGTCTCCATCAGCATCTGTTGCCATAGTAACACCAGCCTGTTTCAGCCTCTGCTTCATGTCTAATCTGAAGCTCCCGGAGGTCATGGGAAATTTGACTGGATTCAGAGTCAGCACACAGACTCTGTAGAGTACATCATATTTGAGTGAGTTTCTACATGCCACAGTTTTAGGTCTTGATGTCCTGTTCAGAGCACATTCAGGCTTCTCAGGAGGTTTGATCATAAACACTCCTTCTCCTTGGTCTTTAAATATGACTGATATTGACAGAATGATCAGCACTCTTAGGGAAATATGATAATGTTTTGTAGCCTAATTATCAGTTAAATCCGACTCATTTTCAAATTGTTTGTCATAAATAAACATCTCAGAAAAATGTTCTGGGGTTTCAAATCGTAAAATTACTTTTTGTTATGAAACGGGGAATCATTTTCATACATGTCTTCTGCAGACGACAAACGGCTGTTAATCAGGCATTTTGGGGAAACACAACAAAATAAATATAGATCAATATTCCTATGAAATATGAGATATTCTTATGCCAAGTTATTACTCCCATCATTACACTTCTTCTTCATTATGGTTTGCCACAAGAACACATTAATATGCTAATTAGATGCAAGATACATTGTATAGAATGGGAATACCAATTCATGGACATTTTGCGCACATATTGCATAAAGTACAGTAGTATATCAAATCATACCGTTATATCTTTCATAACATAGTTGAGAATCATCTTTGTACAAAGTTTGGCTAAA